CCCCATTAAAACTATATAAATTATAATATAATAATACACATTTACAATGAACTTTTTTTCATGAATGAAAAAAACAAACACTTACCACTGTTAGTTTTAGCAAACGTGGGAACGTTAAAACTGGCAAAAGAAGGAGCCACTGAAGCCACGCTGCCATTGGTCAGGCTGGACATAGGTTTGAAACCAGCGCCATTACCAAAGCCAGAGAATGACCCCGTCCCTGTGGCCGATGTCAGAGAGAACCCCTTAAAAGCTTTGAAAGCCCCTCCACTCTCTCCCTGTGACACAAAAACAGAAGTCATCTATAAATCAGCCTCTAAACACATGCGTGGATGCCTGCCGGGACACGGGAGGAGTGTTACCTCTGCTCCGGCGGTACGACGCTTGGCTTTCTTGATGGAGCGATTCTTCATCACATCTTCGGTTGCAACTGAAAACATTCCTGCCTGAAGACACAAGATATTATTTTCAAACGTTCAATTATTCTTGGCTGAAGCACTTAACCGCTTAATCTGAAGTAAACATATCTCATAATGACAAGTAAAATTAAAACCAAGTAGTTTTGGGATTGGCAGAATGGGTATAACGTTAGGCTAGTGGATAAGTGTCTTGTTAGATACTATGGATAACTGCATTTCCACTGGGAATGTAAAGATGTTTCACAGTGAAAGATGGCACACCTCCTCTCCTTCATCCTCCTGGTCCCAGTTCCTGTCCGTCAACTCTTTCTCTGCAATCCTCTTGGCCATCACAGCTCAGCTGTCAAATCAAATACATGGCAAACGTTTAGTCAGAAAACACGTTGGAGACAAATCAAACGAAACAAAGCTGGGATTTTAGGAATTTCCTTAAAAACTGGAACTAAATGGAAAAATGCCAGATAAGATTACAAAGTAAAGGACGTCTGTGACGTACACTAGCAGGAGTTCTTGGACCAAATTAAAATATCAACTGATCCTAGAAGACACCTGGTTTAATGCTCGGATCTTAAACACACAACAGGTCTAGGGTTAACGTTAGTTTCGGTCAACGGTGGAGATCAGTTGAGGTCTCGGGTTCATGACCCAGGAAGGAGTCCTCGGTCAACCAAAACATCACATTTGACTCACTAAAGAGACAACATTCAAAACCACATTGTAATATCTACACAAATTAAATAATGCTGAAAGTCCCTCAGATAACAACATGAGTCATTAACTACGTCTTTGGAGGGCATTTCATTTAAATGACGTGACAGATTGAGCAACTACCGGCAGATGCATATTAAAGATCTCAAATATGATTTTAATCGACTAACTTCGGAATCAAATCGCATTATACTACACTAGCAACGAACTGATCTGTTTACATGATGCGTTTGTGTGAATACGATGGTTTAAATGTGCTAATGACGGGCCGGCTCTTAAAATAAAGATAAATACGACGTATCACGGATCTGTGTGAAACAAACCACTATTTAATAAGGTTGTATACATACCTCACACAATTTCCCGCCAACCGTTCGCGTCACACACACAGTTTCGACTGGTTGTGCTTGAATGATGACCGCGGGAATCTCAATCTCACACATACAGAAGCAGGCCGCGCGCTCACACCGCCATCTTACAAACGCATCGCGTGTGCACACAGGGAAGTATTCTGCGCATGTGCAAAAAGAAGCGGCACCCGCGAGTCCCACTGCGCATGTGCGAAGAGCAGTAATGGCCGCAGGAGTTTGTGGGAAATGAAGTCTCTCAATGAATTCGGCATGTCGAAGCGAACGTAACGAATGTCTTAAAATTCAATAATTGCACACACAAAATGCCCCACATCTCTTGCAAAATGAAGCACTCAAAATATTACAAACACATCTCTAAAGCAAATATTTGTCTTGCGTTGCCAACACCTTTGCCATAATATTATAGTTTTGGATATATCACAAAGACTACACACATTTACTCAAACATAAGGTGCTTCTTTAATGAGATTGCTTCAATCATGAGCAAGTAATTGGCAGAGAGATGATGAAAAAATCATGGCAAACAGCAAAATTGAAACCAACCTATTTTTTTCCTGTAAGTGTAACCGAATGAAATGAGTAGTGATTGACGTTTATGAGCACCTATCAGTAAAGAGTTCCCCCTATTTAAGATCTGGTTGGCTGTGGCCTGGGATGCGTCATGTCCGACTCCTCCCCGTAGCTGTTGTTGACAGTGGACACAGGTATGCGCTATTAGCATGTAGCGAGTTCCGTTTTTTTCTGTATGCGTGGGAGTAATGATTCCTTGTTGCTTCCTAGCCTGTCTTTTCTCCTCCTGGCACCCTTGGCTTGTTTAAAGTGTATGCTAAGACTGCTAATCTCTCCGGTAAGTGCAAGGCGTTTTCTGAGAACGCAGATTGGTTAGTCCTGTGGGGTTGGGGTTGATATTTTGCGTTGTGTGCAGTATTCCCTGTGTCTCCGCTGTATCTCCGCTGAACGGCAATTGCCTGAATACCGCATACCCGTGCTGGTGAAGGGATATTAGAGCTCACTCCATTTCTTCGGTAAGTTATATGCTGTGAATGTTAGCAAGCGATGTATGCACGTTAGTAATCATTTTTGTGTGTATTTATCTCAGGATTCTCTCTCTCTCTCACTCGTGAGCGATCCGTTTCGGCTGTAGTCGCAGTCCTGTTTGTCTTCCCTCCGTCATACTACGAGAACGCTGTATTTTCCAGCTGATCTGATGGATTGTCGCTGTCTGGTTTCTTTATATCCTTGTTTAGTGTATTTTTGGGTTGCCATTCAATAATTTGTAAGGAGAATATCATTTTGCGGTTGCTCCTTTCAAGTTTGTTTACATCATTATTGGTATTGAGTTAATTTGTTTATTGTGTCCAAAAAAAACTGTTTATTGTCCTGGATTTGATTTGACAGGACTTTATTCCTGCCTGTGCTTGTGATTATACCATAATCAAATTGTGATTTATTGTACTGTTTTGAGATTTGTTTCTTTTTTTGTATTTTCTTTCAGTCGCCGAGGTCCCACTGGTGAAGGGTCTCTTGGGGTGGTGGTGGTGCTCCTTCCACGGTTGCCGTGCAGCACTTTTGAAGTGTTTGGTTGTGTGAGCTGAGAGCACGGTGTTGTGAGTGTGCAAGTGTGCTTTTGACTGACTAGATTTATGATCACTTCGCCGTGGTGAACCTCGGCCCTGTAAGGTTGCAGATTTGTTTTTCAGTTGTGTGGTCATTAGTTTTTGTACATTGTGTTATGTCATTTTGTGTTATGTCATTTGTTGCCTTTGTTTTCTTGTTTCGTTAAACACTCATGTCTGCCATGCCATAATTATCCATCTGAAGCCATCCTGGTGCAACGGAGGTTATTGTGAATATCATGCTCTCTTTTAAATAGGATTTTCTAATAATAAAATATATTTATTTCATGATACCCACGTTTCTGCCTACCTTTTTACGAGAGTCGAACCTGTGTGACCTAAATTTTTAGGGATCATTCATATTTCCCGGGGTGAAATTCCCATGGGTGGCGTAGTCTAACTTGGTGTCTGAAATCTATAGCTTACTACTCCGTCACAAACTGGCGTAGTCGGCAGGGTCTCTATTGTGTAGTACAAAGACGTGGGTATTGTTTCTGTTGGTATAAGTGTTTTTGGATATTTGTTTCTTCTTTTCTTTCTTTTTTGTTGCAGAAACCAGACAGCGGCCGTTCTTTCTGGGGTCTGTAAAACGGACCGGTGAGTTTAGTATCTGTATTGGTAAGTGCTGTGTGTGATTTATAGTCATGGAGGATGAACTACGCGCGTTAAAGGAACTAGTACTCCAATTAAAGGCAGACAATGAAAGATTGCGACAGGAGCAGACGCCCGCGGCGCAGCCTGGTTCGTCTAGTGCTCCCTCAGCTGCCGCTGAGGACCCTCCGCCACCCACTGGTTCTAGTGCAACAGAGCGATTTGTGTTTGTCCCTCGTGACAGAAAGTGTCCAAAATTTAATGGTAGGTCTGGCATTTTTATTGATGAGTGGGTGGAGGAGGCCCAGGCTTGCATGCGGCTTCGCCACCTTTCTAATACGGATCGGGCATATTTTTTGGTTGATCATTTGGAGGGAGAAGCACGGGAAGAGATTCGTTATCGGTCGAGGGATGAGAGGGAGGATCCAGAGAAAATTATTCAGGCTTTGCGTAACCTGTATGGTTGTACGAAATCATATGTTGCTCTTCAAGAGTCATTTTTTTCCAGGAGACAACAGGATGGGGAGAGCTTATTGGAATTCTCCCTGGTTCTGATGGGTCTTCTGGAAAGGGTAAAAAATCAATCACCTCATGGCATGCCTAATGCGGAAGTTCTATTACGCGATCAATTTGTGGAATATGTTAATGATGGTGCCCTCCGGCGTGAATTAAAACAGCTAGTCCGTCGCCAACCTACTGCTACATTGTTGGACGTTCGCAGTGAAGCTATTCGCTGGGAACGTGAGGGAGTGCCGGGGGGAACGCGCGGTCGAAGTCAATCTGTCCCTTCTGCGTATGGTATTCAGTATGGGGTGCAGGGACATCAGCACACGGGCAGTAACGCTGCGTCAACTACATCTGAATTGAGCGAATTACGAGAGATGCTGAAAATGCAGCAACAGCAGCTGAATCAATTGACTCAAAGCATAGCTCAAATTCAAAATCCCCAACCCCGACAGCGACCATCCCGGCCTAATCAGATTATTTGTAGAAGGTGTCAGCAACCTGGTCATTATGCTGGAGATTGTGATGGAGAGCGGCGACCACCACGTTTCCCACCAGCACTTGCGGGTTCCTCCTCTGCGGGGAGTGCCCAGCCACCATCTAGACAGTCGTCGGGAAACTAACTCCCACCGAGCCGCAGGGCCGCCGCTCGGTTGGGGAAGAGACAGGCTCGGATTTTTTGCTTGGTTCAGATTTAAGGTCTCGTCTTATGTCAACTTGTCCACAACTCGTCGTGGGGATGGGGGGGTCAAGGTATCTTGCCTGGTGGACACCGGTTCTATGGTGTCCACCATTACGGAGAGTTGTTTTTTGAAAAATTTTGAATCTTGGGGTCAGGAACCGCTTCGGTCGTGCCATTGGCTACAGCTCCGGGCCGCCAATGGCCTCTCAATTCCGTACGTCGGTTATGTAGAACTGGATGTTGAACTTTGCGGGCGAGTGGTTTTAGGTTGCGGGGTGCTAGTGGTCAAGGACCCTCCGGGTGGTTTGTGTGCTCAGGTTCCTGGCGTTCTAGGAATGAACGTCCTGAGCCGCTGCTACCAGGAACTCTTTGGCCAGCACGGCATGAGTCTTTTTGATTTACCTGTTGTGTCGCAGGCCCCTAATTCTGTTTTCCAGGCCTTACAACATTGCTGTCACATTGACGTCCAGTCAGTTTCGGATCAAGGGGGACGAGTTAGAGTGCGTGGACGTCGGGCATGTCGTATCCCAGGCGGTACAATGAAATTGGTGGTTGTGACCTGCTCAGCGCAGTACTCGAATGGTACTGTGCTGTTTGAACCACCGGAGGCTGGCCTTCCTGCCGGTTTGTTGGCATCTCCGTCGTTGGTGCCAGTAGAGCGTGGTACAGCTTATGTGCCCGTGGTTAACGTTAGTGAGGCCGACGTGTTACTGTATGCTGGCACGGTCATAGGTACTGTCAACCAGGTTTACGTGGTTAGCTTACCCCCGGAGGTCACTGAGGTTAAAGTGGTATCGGCTAGAGTGAGTACGCAGCAGGTTGTTCCCGCTATATCTGAACAGATACGGGCGGTTGACTTAGCTGTACTGTCAGTTGAGGAACAAGGTAAGGTAAGGGCGCTTCTTGAAAAGTACGCGACTGTGTTTTCCACGCATGAGGGAGATCTGGGATGTTCCAATCTTATTTCCCATGATATCCCCCTGCTGGATGATGTCCCTGTACGGCAGCGATACAGACGCATTCCTCCATCGGAGTATGAGGTGGTGAAAGCTCATATAAACCAACTACTCGAGTCCCAGGTAATCAGAGAAAGTTGTAGTCCATACGCGTCACCCATCGTCCAGGTCAGGAAGAAGGACGGTAGTCTGCGCATGTGCGTAGACTATCGTCAGTTAAATTCTAAGACCAGAAAGGATGCCTTTCCCCTGCCCCGGATTGAAGAGACATTGGACTCGCTGGTGGGGGCACGTTGGTTTTCCACCATGGACCTCACCAGCGGGTACAATCAGGTTCCGGTTACTGAGGCGGATCGATCAAAGACTGCCTTTTGCACTCCGTTTGGCCTCTTTGAATGGAACAGGATGCCTTTCGGTTTGTGCAATGCCCCCAGCACCTTCCAACGATTGATGGAACGGATGTTTGGGGACCAACAGGGTCAGTCTTTACTTCTTTACCTGGATGACATTGTTGTGTTTTCCTCTTCAGTTGACCAACATCTGGCTCGGATGGAGGTAGTGCTAAGCCGGTTACAAAAGGAGGGTTTGAAGGCTAAGTTATCTAAGTGTGCGTTCTTTAAACAGGAAGTGCAGTACCTGGGTCATGTCATTTCGTCGGAGGGGGTCTCCACCGACCCAGGTAAGATTGCAGCAGTTTCTCAGTGGCCGCTCCCAACTAACGTGGCCGAGCTGCGGTCATTTTTAGGGTTTGCCAGCTATTATCGACGTTTCGTGGAGGGATTCGCTAGGTTAGCTGCCCCCTTACATCGATTGGTGGCAGAGCTGACAAGTCCTAAGCATTCGCGGAAGCCGAAGCATATCGGTGACGCCTGGTCTGCAGAGTGTCAGAGGGGTTTTGAGGAGTTAAAGAGGAAACTTACTACCGCTCCCGTTCTGGCCTATGCTGACTTTTCGCTTCCATTTATTCTGGAGGTGGATGCCAGTCATGGGGGACTCGGGGCGGTTCTCTCACAGGACCAACAGGGCAAGGTGCGTCCTATTGCCTATGGTAGTCAGGGTCTTAGGCCCACTGAGCCAATACATCCACCTATAGTTCCATGAAATTGGAGTTTCTTGCGCTCAAGTGGGCCATGACCGAGAAGTTCCGTGAGTACCTCCTGGGGCATAAGTGTATGGTGTACACCGACAATAACCCTCTTAGCTACCTGTCCTCTGCCAAGTTGGGGGCTATGGAACAGCGTTGGGCTGCCCAGCTGGCAGCCTTTGACTTTGAGCTTAAATATAGATCAGGTAAGAGTAACCGCAATGCTGATGCGTTGTCTCGCCAGAACTTCCAGGGAGAGGGAGATCAAGATTTGTGCCGGGGTGCAACTGTCCCGGTATTGCTGCGTCAAGCCGCCCAAGATGGATTAACCACTTGGGTAAATCAAATTGCATCCTTTCCCTGTCCTATCCAGGATATGGGTATGCAGCAGAGGGCAGATCCAGTCGTTGGCGAGCTGTTGGTGTTCTGGAGGCGGAAGTTACCTCCTAGCTCAGAAGAGCGTAAGGAGCTCTCCAGATCTGCGGTGATCCTGTTGCGCCAATGGGACCGTTTGGTGGAGCACGAGGGAGTGCTTTACCGCCGGGTGTTTCGCCCGGATGGTGGAGAGGAGGTTCTCCAAGTGCTTTTACCAGCGGCCTTGAAGTCTAAAGTATTGACTCAACTTCACCAGCAGCATGGGCACCAGGGGGTGGAACGCACCACGCAGCTGGTACAGCAGAGATGTTATTGGCCAAGGATGTCCTCTGACATTGCCCGCTGGTGCCAGGAATGTGAGAGATGCCAATGTGCCAAGGGTGATCAGTCTACTCATGCTAGTTTCATGGGGCATTTGTTGGCGGCACGGCCAAACGAGATCGTAGCCCTGGATTTCACGGTGTTGGAGCCCTCGAGTACCGGTCTTGAGAATGTTTTGGTCATGACCGATATCTTCACCAAGTACACCTTGGCTGTACCTACCAGGGACCAACGAGCTGAGACTGTGGCTCAGGTTCTGGTGGTCGAATGGTTCTACAAATTCGGGGTACCTGGTCGTATCCATTCAGACCAGGGCCGTAATTTCGAGTCGGCTCTTATTCAGCAGCTGTGCTGTTTATATGGAGTTGAAAAATCACGCACCACGCCATATCATCCGTCCGGAAATGGGCAGTGCGAACGTTTCAACCGGACCTTGCACAATCTGTTGCGTACATTGCCGGTGTCAAGGAAGGGGGATTGGCCAGGTTGCCTTCCCCAGGTACTTTTCTCCTATAATACTACCCCTCATCAAGCTACGGGTGAGTCTCCTTACTTTTTGATGTTTGGGCAGGAGCCTAGACTTCCCGTTGACTTCCTGCTCGGTGGGGTTGAAGAACCACGAGCAGGTAGTGTACATAGGTGGGTCTTGGAGCATCAGGATAGGTTGCAGATTGCTTTTGGGGGTGCTCGTGATCGATTGAGGGCCGCGGCAGATCGTCGGATGGCCAGGCATGATCTGCAGGTACAAGAAGCACCACTGAAGGAGGGTCAGTTGGTATACCTCCGTGACCATAGCGTGAGAGGTAGACATAAGATCAACGACCTGTGGAGTGCAGTGGTGTACCAAGTAGTGAAGGCTCCTAAGGACGGGGGGGTGGTGTATACTATTGCCCCCGCCACAGATTTAGGTAAGATAAAGCATGTGCACCGATCCTTGCTGAAACTGCAGATTGGTGGACACCTTTCCCCCACTTTGCAGGAAAGTCCGGTGATTGAACCTGTTCAGCTTCCTAGAGAGGAAGATCTAGAGGAGGGAGACTTGTTTGTTTTGGTGCCGGAAACATTGCAAGCTGGTCGTGGGCAGGTTCCTGGAGGAGTCTCACCTTCTGTCCCTCAGAGGCCTGAGCAAGTACCATCTGGTGAAGTCCAGCGGACAGAAGAAATTCTGGAGACAGAGGTGAACCTGCAGCCGGTAATGAGTCTTCCTTCAGACGCTGCTGTGGTCAGGAGGACGGGAAGGAGTACTGCTGGACGGCACCCTAACGTACATCACCTCCCTCGATCGGTGGGGGTAGGGACGGTATCTAGTATAGGGGGTAGTACATCTGTTACTTGGTTTCGGCCGTGGAAGTGAGGGCTCAGAGTGTAGGTTCTGTTGAGTTCACCGTCGGGGCGTCGGTGCAGAAGCTGGGGGTGGATTGTAACCGAATGAAATGAGTAGTGATTGACGTTTATGAGCACCTATCAGTAAAGAGTTCCCCCTATTTAAGATCTGGTTGGCTGTGGCCTGGGATACGTCATGTCCGACTCCTCCCCGTAGCTGTTGTTGACAGTGGACACAGGTATGCGCCATTAGCATGTAGCGAGTTCCGTTTTTTTTCTGTATGCGTGGGAGTAATGATTCATTGTTGCTTCCTAGCCTGTCTTTTCTCCTCCTGGCACCCTTGGCTTGTTTAAAGTGTATGCTAAGACTGCTAATCTCTCCGGTAAGTGCAAGGCGTATTTTGAGAACGCAGATTGGTTAGTCCTGTGGGGTTGGGGTTGATATTTTGCGTTGTGTGCAGTATTCCCTGTATCTCCGCTGTATCTCCGCTGAACGGCAATTGCCTGAATACCGCATACCCGTGCTGGTGAAGGGATATTAGAGCTCACTTCCATTTCTTCGGATTCTCTCTCTCTCACTCGTGAGCGATCCGTTTCGGCTGTAGTCGCAGTCCTGTTTGTCTTCCCTCCGTCATACTACGAGAACGCTGTATTTTCCAGCTGATCTGATGGATTGTCGCTGTCTGGTTTCTTTATATCATTGTTTAGTGTATTTTTGGGTTGCCATTCAATAATTTGTAAGGGGAATATCATTTTGCGGTTGCTCCTTTCAAGTTTGTTTACATCATTATTGGTATTGAGTTAATTTGTTTATTGTGCCCAAAAACTGTTTATTGTCCTGGATTTGATTTGATTTATTCCTGCCTGTGCTTGTGATTATACCATAATCAAATTGTGATTTATTGTACTGTTTTGAGATTTGTTTCTTTTTTTGTATTTCCTTTCAGTCGCCGAGGTCCCACTGGTGAAGGGTCTCTTGTGGTGGTGGTGGTGCTCCTTCCACGGTTGCCGTGCAGCACTTTTGAAGTGTTTGGTTGTGTGAGCTGAGAGCACGGTGTTGTGAGTGTGCAAGTGTGCTTTTGACTGACTAGCTTTATGATCACTTCGCCGTGGTGAACCTCGGCCCTGTAAGGTTGCAGTCTTGTTTTTCAGTTGTGTGGTCATTAGTTTTTGTACATTGTGTTATGTCATTTGTTGCCTGTGTTTTTTTGTTTCGTTAAACACTCATGTCTGCCATGCCATAATTATCCATCTGAAGCCATCCTGGTGCAACTGAGGTTATTGTGAATTTCATGCTCTCTTTTAAATAGGATTTTCTAATAATAAAATGTATTTATTTCATGACACTCACGTTTCTGCCTACCTTTTTACGAGAGTCGAACCTGTGTGACCTAAATTTTTAGGGATCATTCATATTTCCCGGGGTGAAATTCCCATGGGTGGCGTAGTCTAACTTGGTGTCTGAAATCTATAGCTTACTACTCCGTCACATAATATAACATCAGAATGTTATATTACATAGTCTATGAGTATGTATGGAAAGCTCAAGATCAAGTACTTTTGGGCCAGAAACATATTCAATAGGTAAAATATTTTTCTAGCTGAAATGACATCATGAGAAGTAAATCTCCAACCAACCAGAACACCCTAGCAACCACCAAGCAACAGCCTAGAAACCACCCAGAACACCTTAGAAACAAACCAGAACACCCCAGCAACCACCCAGAACACCCCAGCAACTGCCTAACAACACCCTAGCAACCACCCAGAACACCTTCGCAACCACCCAGAATACCCTAGCAACCGCATAGCAACACCATAGCAACCATCCAGAATACCCTAAAAAAAACACCTAGCAACCACCCAGAACACCCCAGCAACTGCCTAGCAACACCCTAGCAACCACCCAGAACACCTTCGCAACCACCCAGAATACCCTAGCAACCGCATAGCAACACCATAGCAACCACCCAGAATACCCTAAAAAAAACCTACCAACCAGCCAGAACACCGTAGCAACCTCCCAGAACACCCTAGCAACCGGGTGCTGAGATTTGCCGCTTCAACTCCACTTCACATTTTCTTCTGGAAATGTGCCATAAATGTGTTCCTGGAGGTCAAAATTGACCTATGTATATCTAATAAAACATCAGAAGGAGACTAAAAGTTTATATTGTTTTAAACTTTTTGAGGAACCTTTGACCAGAAATGAGTTCAATATGTCAGATATGGACTTCTCTATGGCTTAGAAAGCATCTGTTGGAGTCTATTAGTATCAATGGAAAGTACAAGGTTAAGTACTTTTGGGCCAGAAATATGTTCATTAGGTCAAATATCCTTCTGGCTGAAATGACATCATAAGAAGTAAAGCTCTAGGTATATTAACCCAAACATCAAATACCCGTGGGCCATAAATGTGTTTCTGGAGGTCAAAAATTGACATATGTATAGCTAATGTAACATCAGGAGTCTATAAGTTTATATTGTTTAAAACCTTTTGAGGAACCTTTGACCAGAAATTAGTTCAATAGGTCAGATATGGACTTCTCTATGGCTTAGGAAGCATCTGTTGGAGTCTATGAGTATGTATGGAAAGTTCAAGATCAAGTACTTCATGAGAAGTAATTACCAGAAATTAGTTCAAAAGGTCAGATATGACTTTTCCATGGTTTAGGAAACATCTATTGGAGTCTATGAATATGTACTGAAAGTTCAAGATCAAGTACTTTTGGGCCAGAAATATGTTCAGTAGGTCAAATATCTTTCTGGCTGAAATAACATCAGGAGAAGGATCAATTAATTACCCATAGTCTAGAAATATGTTCAGTAAGTCAAAAAAGAACCTATGTAATATAACATCAGATTGAGTCTATCAGTTGATATTTTTAAAAAACTTTTGAGGAAACATAGACCAGAAATTAGTTCAATAGGTCAGATATGGACTTAGAATCTATGGCTTAGAATCAAGTACCAGAAGCCAGAAAAGCCAGAAATATGTTCACTAGGACAAAAAGGAACCTATCTATAGCTTATAAATCATCAAAAGTCAATAAGTTAATATTTATTAAAACCTTTGAGGACCCTTTGACTCTTTTCCCTTTGATTCTACTACTAATTCTTTTGTGCACTGACGAAAAAACATCACTTGAGCGGTCGTGCAATGCAATAACTTACTCGTTCCTTTGTGGAACAAAGAGATGTGTAATGCATGTGTTTTGTAACAAGGGAAATAATTGCATTAGTTGTTGCATTTCTGTGATGAAGAGAAATCGTTGCCATTAGCTGTTTCCTTACAACGCATTCAATAACTAACTCATTCCCTTGTTCAATGAAAACACATCTAACGTCTAACGTTGTGCATTAAAGAATTATGCACGCAATAACTAACATTATGCAATGTGAAACTCTGTGCAATGAAAAGAAAAAACTCTGTGCAATGAAAAGAAAACACCTAATATGTTTCATTGGATTGCATAACAATCTAACTTGTTCTTCGATGCCAATGAAAAGGTGATGTTTTCTCGTCTGTGCACAATCAATCTAGTTTGTAAAATAGGAATGCATGGGAAAGCACATGCATACAATTTCTTTTCATTGCAAAGAGGAACAAGTTCGATATTTTATGCATTGCAATAAAACAACACCCGTTTCTTTGTGCAATGAAGAGATGTGGATTGTGCACGAAGAACGTTGTTCATCAAAAATACCATATATGTAATATTCACTTTATTGCATTCAAGTACTAACCCTTCCTTAGTGCTTTGACTGGACAACATGTGTTGTTTCATTGCAATGCTTATATTTTCTAACTTATTCTTCTTTGCAATGAAAAGAAATGATAAAACACGCGTGCTTTTCCATGCATTTCCATTCTACAACTAATTAATTTGTGTTTTGACGAGAAAACATCACAAGAGCGATCGCTTTACAATGCATACACTAACTTGTTCCTTTGTGCAACGAAGAGATTTGCTTTAGGATTGCATTGCACATGCATGCGATAACTATGTCCAAAGAAAAGAAAACGTCTCAGGTTACGTATGTAACCCTGGTTCCCTGAGAGGGAACGAGAGCTGCGTTTGGAACGCGGTGGGAACGCTCTGCGTGATTGCGTCGTGAAGCACGTGTATAATCTGTCCAATGGAAGAACAAGACGTCATGGGCGATGACGTCATGACCAGGAAAACTATAAAGCACCCCAGAAAATAGACCGCATCAGCTTCTGAAAAGGCCTGAAGCAAGTCGATCACAGGCATGCAGGAAGTATGGCAGGCGAACGCAGCTCTCGTTCCCTCTCAGGGAACCAGGGTTACATACGTAACCTGAGACGTTCCCTTTCAAGGGAACTCAAGCTGCGTTTGGAACGCGGTGGGAACTCCATACCCACGACGCCATATGACAAATGCCTGTACTGTATGAAATAGAATAGCACACTAAGACACAAGCACCCTAGACCCTGGAGTGGAGCCTAGGTCCAAGTCATAAAAACGAACAAATGTATGCGGTGAGGACCAACCTGCCGCACTACAAATATCGTGCAACGAAACCCCAGATAATAAGGGTTTAGAGGCCGCCAAACTCCTAGTCGAGTGGGCGCGGACAGCTAAAGGTGAAGGCTGACCGGCCGCTTCGTAAGCAAGTGTAATAGCCTCAACTACCCACTTGCTCATAACCTGCTTGGAGGCAGGGCAACCTCTCTTAGTTGACCCGAAACAGACAAACAATTGATCTGATTTACGCCACAGGGAAGATCTGTGGACATAAGCATCCAAAGCCCGAACAGGGCACAGCAGATTAAGCTTTTCCTGATCAGGAGAGAGAAAAGGTGGAGGACAAAAGGCCTGCAGAACTATAGGACCCGACACATTAGTGGGTACTTTAGGAATATAACCTGGCCTAGGGTGAAGAAAAGCTTTAACCATGCCAGGAGCAAATTCCAAGCACGAAGGGGCAACTGAAAGGGCTTGTAAATCACCTATCCTCTTAATAGAAGAAATAGCAATGAGAAACAAAGTCTTAAATGTGAGGAACTTTTCCGAAATCTCCTCAATGGGCTCAAAGGGAGCCAAAGCCAAGCCTTCCAGTACCACGGCCAAATCCCAGGCCGGTGTTCTCGTGCGCTGAGCAGGCCTAAGCCTCAAAGTGCCACGGAGAAACCGAACAATGAGGGGATCTCTCCCCAAAGATAAACCACCCAAAGGAGAGTGGTAGGCAGAAATAGCCGCCACATACACCTTCAAAGTGGATGGGGATAATCCAGCAGAAAACCGTTCTTGCAAAAAATCAAGTACTGTACCAATCGGGCAGCTAACAGGATTACAATTGCGTTCTAACACACCAAGTAGAGAACAGTTTCCATTTCAAAGCGTACAGTCTTCTCGTGGAGGGAGCTCTAGATTGGAGTATGGTCTCCACGACCTCAGTCGAGAGACCTGACTCTATGAGCTCGGCCCCCTCAGGGGCCAAGCCCACAGTTTCCACAACTCCGGGCGAGGGTGATAAATTGAGCCCCCTGCTTGGGACAGCAGGTCCTCCTGATCGGAATCTCCCATGGAGAGCCGTCTAGAAGAGACACTAGGTCCCGAGAACCAGACTCGGGCCGGCCAGTACGGGGCTACTAAAACAAAAGACTGACCCCTTCCTGGCGAACCCTCTCCAGAACTCCCGGAATCAGAGATATCGGGGGGAAAGCGTACAGGCGCAGCTCGCCAAAACCTGACCCAATCGCATCCAGTCCGAGAGGAGCTGGGTGCGTGAGGGAAAACCACATTTGACAAATGAGTTGAATCTAAAGATGCGAAAAAGGTCTACCTGA